ATATATATATATATATATATATATATATATATATATATATATATATATATATATTNTNTNTNTNTNTNTNTNTNTNTNTNTNTTTNTTTCTTTTTTTTTTTTTTTTTTTTCTTTTTTTTCTCTAAAAAAATTTCACATTATTTGTATTGAGATATGCATATATGTGCAATATTTCTTTCACGATATCGCTATATCTTGCAGATATTTCGAAAACGAACGTTCGAATTCGACGTTTATTACAAAAAGAAATGCAATAAGGTCAAATGAGAGATACTCGATAAAATAAAATAAAAAATTTTGTTCGCAACGAAAACTCTTCAAGTATTCTTTAATCAAATAATAATAAAGAATAAATACATCGAAAGATTATAAAACAAAATAATATTCAAGCGATAATTTATTACAAGTTTATACAGTAACAAAAATTAAAATATCTCGCGAACTTATAATTTAAAAAATCATAATTTAAAACGTTACCACTTTCAATAAAAAATAAAGAAGAACGCAATCTTCGAATTAATAGCATTACATAATTTTCTATCGACGCATTAGCTATCGCTGATTCATTATTAAATATTGACACGCGGACTATTATTTTTTTTCCCTTTTTTTCTTTTCTTTTTTTTTCTCTTTTTCTTTTTCTTTTTTACAAACTATGTAGTCATTTATATAAAAGAAACGTCGTATCTTCGGCTATCGTTTATCATGCTATTGAAACGATGCACGTATTTACAAACTATTTACAGTGAACGTTAACACGCGAATTCTATCACAGAAAAACGATGACATGAAAATTAAAAAAAAAAAAACGAAATGATATAATTAATAAACAAAAAAAAAAAAAGAAAAATCGCATAACGTTTTACATATACATATATATATATATATATAATATCAGACTTTATAATATTGCTGATCAATCGACGTGATTATTTATTTATTTATTTTTTTAACGTAGCTTAAATTAAACGAAATATTTTAAAGTGAATTAATATTAATTAACAACTAAAGGACGCGTACATCGAGTTTAAAATAATGATTAAGCCTTGTCTGATGAAGACTCTAATAAAGCAGACGTTATTGCATTGAGTTAACTCTCTTTTTTTTTTCGCTTCAATTTAAGAATCTTTCTTTTCTATCCGACCGATGACCGTCTCTCTTGAAAAATTCTATTTTAATAGATCATTCGACGTTATTCATTTTTGTAGCGATCCCTTTTCTTGTGATTGAATTGCTCGCTTTTCTATCGATTTAATTACTCGAGACAAACTTATTTGAACTTTTCTTCTTTGGAGAATCCGAATGGCGTAGCTACGCGTTAATTAATTCGAATTGAAGCTCGCGTGGGATTTTCACGGTGCCTTCGCTAATTTTCAGTGTGAAGTTCGTTCGGTCCACAACAACAGGGAGTGGCTCTTTAATCGAATTGCTATTCGTTCTACCGGCAGCATATTTTAGAATATAAATCATTTCGTCTTTTTTTTTTTTTTTATTAGATATTTCTAATATCTCTCTTTAAATTTTTCTCTTTAAATTAACGGAAAATGTTGATCACAGAGACTTAAATATCATATTTCGTAATATCAAAATATAAGGATTATAAAGGGTTATATAGGGTTATTTTCGTGAATTTATTTTATTTTAGATGAAGTTTCTATCTTGTATTAAAGGGTCGTATATTTGATTATTATTACTAGTTTTTTTGAACGGTGTTGTTCGTGTTTTTTTTTTTTTTTTTTTTCTACCTTAAACATTTTGAGATGCAATGGAATTATCGTAATGTGAATCGTAATTTTACCATTCTGCGTCAATATTGTGAAATAATATTGGACTAGAAGCTAAAGTAACATTTCAGACAGGATAAATATTCCTGGTAAAGAACGAATGATAAATTAAAATTATTTAATCGACTATACAACAGTTAACAATTAAATAAAATTTACGAGGATGAAGAGATTCGTTATCCGATAAAAGATTAAAATAAAAATTGCATTTTTACAGTCAGAATATAAAATTACAAATTTTTCAATACTATAAATACCTTTCTGCAACCATTCTGTATGTAACTTTAATCCAATTAAATAAGTTCAATAAATAATTAAAAATTCAATAATTTAAATTCAATAATCTAGGAATTAATGTAGTTATTATTTCTGTGTATCGTTTTATTTTAAAAGCAACCATTGCACTTTCTTCTTCTTCAAGGAAGACATTTCTTAATTGTAAAATAAATAGAGAACAAGTATTATTTGCTATTTCGAAATCGCATAAGAACAACAAATAACGTACAATAAACGTAGAAAAGAATAAAAGATTTAATATTTCTTTTCATGACGTATAAACCTCTGAAAGCAATCTTGACCTTTAACAAATATCCGTTTAAAAACAATAACATTAATTAAATAACAACGCAAACAATAACAACGATCTTTGGAATTGTACACCACGTCGTGATTTTCTTCTGAAAAAGAAAAAAAAAAAAAAAAAAGAAGAAAATTCGCAACAGACATATCGTGCAACGTATCGTGTAATATTATAACATTATCATCAATGAGCAATATCTATTAATTAAATTAACAATAACAAAGATTATACTCTCCACGCAAATTTTTCCTTCGAACACGAATCAAAAACTATATATGGAATTCTTACTTAATATCGAACCTTCGTTCCTATTGTACACCGTCTAATATCAGATAAATCGACTATCAAAAATGGATTCCGTTCTAAACTGTGCAGTCGATTATATTTCGATAAAACTAATTACATCGATCGTTCAATTTCATTCGTAATATATCGTAATATATCGATCTTCCACTTCTTCCAGTTCAATAAACGATTTCGAGCGCGCTTGGCCACCCAATAGGATGCAGATTTATCCGAAAATCGAAAGAAAATCAGACGAAAGTGTCTTTGACGAGGTAAACGTTTCGACGAGACGTTTCGTCGTCCTTCCTCGAAAACATCCTTCTTTCAAATCCCTCGAAAAACAAAAGACGATTTCTCGTGACTTTCTCTCGGTGATCGTTCCTTCCTTCATCCATCGATCCCAACTAAACTGCGTGTCTCTCTTCTCCCGAGAATTTTCTTTAAAAATATTTATATTTATGTATATATATATATATATATATAATCTTTGGCAATGCAACGTGATCTATGCGCGTCTCTACCCGTCCTCCATCTCTGTGATCGTTTCGCGATGATGTATGATTCCCGCGTATCCCTGTCCACGCGTGCTTCCGGTTCTTGCAGGTTCGATGGAATAAACATTTGTTCTCTCGCCCTAAACGTAAGATTGCTACGAAACATTATTTCCTTCCTGTGTATTCCGTCTACGTGTTACCATTGAATGAACAACTGTCTTTCTTTTAACTTTACACGTTGGATAATCTCTTTGGAAAATTAGAAAACAATGAATAAATACAATATTCGATCGTTGAGTTTAATTGAACGTGATTATATGCGTATTTCGCGTGGTCTTTAATTAGTCTCGGACGACATTTTCGCTAAAAAATATATATTTCCTGAATCAGGCTTAACACCGAAGATCCTTTTTTTTTTTCTTTTTCCATTGCTAATTCTTCTTCAAATCGCTTTGACGGAGCGAGAATCGTGCACCCGATCGGAATTTTGCACGGAAACCGTAAACACGCGACGCAGATGGATAAAAAACGCGAGCATTCACTTGGCAAGATTCGTGTTCCGCGAGTTTTTGGCAAAATGGCGCTAACACGTTACGTATATTAATCGACGATTAACGGGTCGTTTGGTACGTATGTGTGTAGGTACGTGTTGTGTAGATAGGCGACGATACGGATGTATAATTATCAGGTGGGTGTGTAGGTGTTTCTGCGTGTCTTTCTCTCTTTTTGTTGGAACATCGCGAGCGAAGTTGGTGGTTGCTCTTCTTTCAGAGGCTGCTACCGTACTCGCTCGATCTTCGTCGGTCGATGTGTTTGATGTACGTCTCCGAATATATGCTCTTAGTGCGATCGTCGTACCTGAAAGTAGAAACAGACAGTGGCACCAATACGTTTTGTCCCATCCTTTCGACTTTGTTCATCGAATTCGAAGGAGTTGGGATGATTGTTACCGCTACTTTTCTCATTTTTATCTGAAGTTTGCAATTGGGTTGAGAGGCTCTCTGTTGCTCGCTTTGTTTTCTTCTAACATGGATTGTCCCGTTTGAAAACTATATGGTGAAAATGCATAATAAGTAGATCTCTTTGTTTCATCTATTTATATATTGTTACAAATTTTACTTGTGTCGAAATGATGAGAAAATTTAATAAAATTTTTCTTTGAGCATTTTATCAGATTTTATTTAATTTTTTCGAAATTGATATTCTCTTTCAACTAATGTAAGTAAATCGTGGATGGAAACGAGAAAATTAACAAGAACGAACTTATTACGATTTATCCATATAGTCTTCGTCGGAATTGTAAACTAAAGAAAGTACTTATTTTTCTTTAATTAATCACTAATGAAAAATATTTTATGAATATTTTCTAAGCAATTAATTTTCAAGAGTTAAAATTTGTATGCTGCATACGTAAGAATACTTGCAAAGAAAGAAAAAGAGGGGGGAGGAGGGGGTTGTTCTAAAATAGGATTAAAATATAAATTATTCGGTTTAGCTATTCTTACTTTCTGCACTCTCGATCATTTTACTTTTACTTTTGCTTTTCAATCGTTGCGATTAAAACTAAAAATACACCAACATTCATTCGATCATTACAAATTCGATCAAATTGAATTTAATTGTGTTTAATAACGTTTAATTAAATATGTAATCGAATCGATTATTAATAATATAATATTATATACAATATCATACACAAATTTCGGTTATTCGAAATAACTTCAATTGTAAATAAGTCGATAATATATTATCTCTCTTATTTTCAATTATTTGTCCTCTTTGCGCTATCACCGAACAATTGATAGAAGAGAATTTTATTTCTATCATATTTAATCGCATTAATTTGATTTCATTTTGTTTAATTTGTCTCGATCCTAGGTTATTGTATTGTATTATCCTCTCGGTAATATAACGTTCTAGCGTTGGGTTTGAGAATGTTCGAGTCGATTTGTTCATTTTTCTAAACATTTGAATTTTTATAAATCTAGCAAAAATTCGAATGTATACCATTATCAATCTTCATATCGTTGTCAACAATTTTTAAGATATTATTCGTTTCTTCAATCGTTGTCCTTCTAAAATATTATAATAAAACAGGAGTTTATAAATTCGTACAGTGCTTGTTTAATTAACTTTACGACAACGAGACGTGACGTAAAACGTGATCTACTTCCACCGATGCAAATTACTCAAATAATATTTTCGCGTTACGCTCAGCTTCCAGCTAATTTATTTCCGTTGTAGCCGCTTTATGACTAAACTTTAAACGCTAATTACGAGGTAACAAAGCGACGAAAAATAGGAAACAAAGAGAAGCGATAGAGACGATAGAAATACTTGAAAATATTTCAAGTTTAATTTATCCAAAAAATTGTATCTTGTTTCTATCGAATGATATATCTTTTGATGGAATTGTAGATATTTATTCCTTTTTTTTTTTTTTTTTTTTTTACGTATATTTTTAACAGCAGACATCAAAGAGAGGAGTGATAACGATTCACTGCTATAAAATCGCGAAATATCGAAACATTGGAACAAGAAGAGGATCAAATCGTAGGAGAATTTACGAATTGATCGTTTTTCTTATGTATAAAGTTTATAAATTCGTACAGTGCTTGTTTAATTAACTTTACGACAACGAGACGTGACGTAAAACGTGATCTACTTCCACCGATGCAAATTACTCAAATAATATTTTCGCGTTACGCTCAGCTTCCAGCTAATTTATTTCCGTTGTAGCCGCTTTACGACTAAACTTTAAACGCTAATTACGAGGTAACAAAGCGACGAAAAATAGGAAACAAAGAGAAGCGATAGAGACGATAGAAATACTTGAAAATATTTCAAGTTTAATTTATCCAAAAAATTGTATCTTGTTTCTATCGAATGATATATCTTTTGATGGAATTGTAGATATTTATTCCTTTTTTTTTTTTTTTTTTTTTTTACGTATATTTTTAACAGCAGACATCAAAGAGAGGAGTGATAACGATTCACTGCTATAAAATCGCGAAATATCGAAACATTGGAACAAGAAGAGGATCAAATCGTAGGAGAATTTACGAATTGATCGTTTTTCTTATGTATAAACTCTTCAAATATAAGAACGCACGAACGAACAGAATAATTATCGAATATTTCATGATATTCATTGTCTATTCAATATAAAGTATCTTCCGTTTTTTTCGTTTTCGTTTTAGGAACATTCACTTCGAGAAAGGATGAGGGAGATGCTGATGCGTGGATAGAAACGAATACGCGTTCCTCGCGAGTTATGTGCGAAAAAGTCGAGGATCTCCTCTCGTCCTACTTTTCCTGCGTGAAATTAAAAATAATGTCTATCCCTTCCTTCTACGAAAATGGTTCTAATCGTCTCGTTTTACAACGATAGTTTCTCGAGATATTTGTGATTTTTGAGAAAATTAAGAAGTATTACAGTAACTCGTCTTGGTGAAATTTTTATCTCGCGTTAAATTGTTTAAATATCGTTTCAAATTCGAAGAGCGCATAATAAAATTGTTCGATATTGATTTTATAAACATTTCGGATACGTTTAGAATCTTAGAAAAATCTGTGGATTCTAGCGATTTGGATTTTTACGTAGATCTTTCGGGATTTCAAAGATCGAAAAATATAAAACTCGTTTAAAAGTAACAAAATTTTCTTTTCAAAGAGATTTTATTAACTCTTGTAAATTTTATTCTAGAGTTTAATATCGATAAATAATTATAAAACAGTCGTTTACATTCTCAACAAAATTATATATAATCGTTTTAATTAAATTACGAAAGGGAAAGAGAGAGAGAGATATTCGATGGTCGAAACGAAATTTCATCACGAATCGTATTAAATGAACGTGTAAACACGCGAAACTTGCATAATCTCTTTAATCAGTTGACAAAATTAATTGCGGTGAAGTTACACATGATGCGTAATTTTCATCGAGAAATAAAGTTACGGGCGATCACGTTGTCAAGTGGTGACAAGAAAGGTGACGTATATATCGGGCAACGTTAATTAAATCATTCGTGGACGCGCGAATTCGTTTCCTGAAATTATATTCGAAACGCGACCGACGAATCACACTCGTGTTATTTACAACTATTTCTCGATCACGAAAGAATAAATCACTTCTACATTTTTCGATAACTTTTATCCAACGATCGAATAATTATTGATTATTATCAATGCATACGAAATCGTCGTTCTTCGAAAGTTTTTAAAAATTAACGGGGAAATATCACGGAAAAAATATCGGCGGAAAATCGTGAATTTAATATCGTGGAATCATTGAACGAGCGAAATGCGAAATACCTATGCAATATATATATATATATAAACATTTTTAAATAAATAAATAAATACGTATAGAGAGTATTCAGAGACTCTTCTTTTTTTTTTTCTCTCTTTTACGAAAAAATGCTCTTTCATATTCCACGAATATGAAAAGAAGATAAAAACATCGGACAAACATAAGGATATAAAAAGAATTTATTAAAAAGTTACGTACGAAACGGGTCCGGATCCTAAACAGAGCTAATTAAAATTTAACCATCTCTAGGAAAATTAATCGAATCCTTCCCTCTTTCTCGAATTTTCGGCGAAAAAATTGTTGGTAAAACGAAGCTAACCGATTTAACGTAATCGAAGGTAAGATCACTCATCGCTCCAATCACTCGTTAACAAATCATCCATCTGGTACGAGGGAGTTACGAAGCTAGAAAGAGATGTAATTCTATCGAGGATCGGGATGGATACGAAAACTAGAAAGAAGGGGGAGAAGAAAAAGCGATAGAATGTAGTGCGTACCTCAACGTGTCAGACCAGATCGTACCTTAGGGACGGCCGACGGAAATCGAGCGCCTCGAGATCGGACGGCTCTCGTCTGCAGAGCGAGCAGAACGCGCACTGCAGAGTATTCTTGAAAGCTTCTCGGAAGTCGCGGTTGAAGTACGCGTAGATCAACGGATTCAGCGCCGAATTCGTGTACCCGATCCAGAAAAGCAGGGCGATCACGATGTCGGGACACGGACAGGATTCTCCGCATAATGTTGTGATAACGTACCTGTGAACACACATTTCACAGTGTCAATGGATCTTTACGACTTTTACCAATTTACGACACGTGCTCCTCGAAAATGGTTATCGATCCTATCCGCTCTCGAGACTGGTGTCGAGTCTCTGACGATATGGAACGATCGTGATCAAATATATATCATGAGTTGAAAATGTTGAAAACGAGAGCGAAGGATATTTATGCGTGTATGAATTTTTGAAACCGTGCGTTCTTTGGAACAACGAAAACATTGTTTCGCATAAATCGGTTATCTCCATCGACACGCGTAATTAATCGTACGTTATCGTAACGAGAGCAATTGAATCCATTAACCGAACACGATCCATGTGCGTCACTGTCACTCAGTTTTCACGTTGTAATTAAACTAACGATTAATCTAAAAATATCTTGCACCTAAATTAAATCAACGACGATATCTCTATTAAGGACAGTTTAAAACTTGTTTCGAGAGATAGAGAGAGAGAGAGAGAGAGACAAACGAAAAGAAAGGGAGCGAAGCGATGATGAAACAATTAAAAAAGAAAAAAAAATGCGCGAACGAATTTTGTGGAAGACGCACCACAAGAAGAACGGCAACCAGCATAGTATGAAGGTACCCATGATGATGCCTAACGTCCTAGCAGCCTTGTGCTCTCTCTTCATCTTCATGATATTCTTATCCTTGGTGGGCGTGTGCAGATGATTGGTACTGATCTCGTTCAACGTCAACGTCTTGGAGGAGCCCGCGCTGTTTAGCTCCCCGTTCAAATTATTCAAATCCTTGCTCGGCCTGTGGCTCAACAGCATCACGTTCCCCATCCTGCTGTGCATTTGCTTCTCCTGCCTGTTCGCCTCTTTAAACACGGCGAAATACGTGAGCGTCATGATGGTGCACGGTATCCAGAACGAGATGCTCGAGGAGAATATCACGTAAATCTTGTTCACCTTAAACTCGCACAAGTCGGGATGCTTCTGCCTGTGCATACTGTTCTCCGGGGTGGTGTACCATCCCATGAAGATGGGCATGAACGAGATGAAGGCGGGCAATATCCAACAGGCGAGCAGCATATAGGCGGCCAGCCTCCTGGTCATGATGATGGGATATTTGAGCGGTTTCACGATCGCCCAGTAACGATCCACCGAGATGCACATGAGATGAAGGATGGAGCTCGTGCTGAAGTACACGTCCAGGGAATTCCACACGTCGCACATGAAATAACCGAACAACCATTTGCCGGTCAATTGCACGCTCGCGTTGAACGTCATGGCGAACATGGCGACCAACATGTCGGCCAACGCCAAAGAGACCACGAAGTAATTGGTGATGATCCGCAGCTTCCTGTGCCGCATCACCGACACCATCACCAACAGGTTGCCGAACACCGCGGTCACTATGATGGAGCCCAACACGCAACCTTTCACGATCGTCACAGGCACCGACAACTTTTGCTCGCCCGACGGCGACGAGTAGCTCGCGTTCCCGAATCGGCCCTCCTCCTCGCTCGAGATGGCGTTCAACAGGGTCGTGGTCACGTCCACCGAGGACACCACCTCGCTCGACTCGCTGCTCGTCGCGATCGTCGTCATGCTCGCCCACCCCGCGTTTCCCTTCTTGTTCCTCTTCTTCCCCTCCGGAACAGAGCGGACGGGCGGCGGCGGCTCCCTTAGGTCACGGACGTGGCCACGAGCCGACGTACCAGGCTGCCCTTCATCTTCCCGACCCGTTGTTCCGCCTTCTCCGACTTTCTCCCTCGTTGCACCGATCGACGATATTTTCTTCTTCCTCTCCTCTTTCTATCCGTCACGCTCGCTAATCTGGAAAATAGACAGAGATGTTGAAGAAACTGTTAACCAATTATTTTCGATAAATCTATCGATCGATACGGGCTGACACGGTGGTGAAATATTGATAAAAAAAAAAGGATTTTCATCTCCTCGTGGTGAAATAATATCAAGGTTTCCGAAGAGAAAGGAAATTTCAAAACAATTTTTTATAAATAATGCGACGATTGGAGGGTAATCCTTTTTTTTTATATCGATTTTCTAATTCGATCTCTTTGTTTGTATTTTATAGAAAAGGCGAGATGATTTATTTATTTTTCTTTTTTTGTAGTTTATTCAGAGATGGCTTAAACGACTTTTTCCTTTTTTTTTTTTTTTCTAAGTTCAAACATCGAATTGAACGGAACGATTTTACGGTATTTCGACGCGATATCGAAGTTCTTCTCGTCTCGATTGAGGTTTTCGACACGAGAGAGGGATATCAAACACGCTAGACGACCCACTTTATTCGATTTGTTTGTATTACTTGCTTAATCTATTCGATCCATTATAATGCACATTCAAACTTTCATTCAATTTATTCAGTCTGCACGCTAGTAACATCGTGTCGTTAGATTTCCTCTTTTTTTTTTTCTTTTTTTCTTTTTTTTTATTTTCCATTTTTCGAAAACGACGAGACAACGTTCGATGAAAACGTGAATTGCACGTGTAATTACAAATTTTCCTATAGGACGCAATATCGCACAACGAATGAATTGAAATTTAAATTCGAATATCGGGAACATTTTTGAAAATGTTTTTACGTTATTTAAGGTGGAAAATTATTAAATTGTTTATTTTATATTTTACGCAATATGAGCTGTCGGTTGAATTTTCGATTGTTGATACAATAATATCAACAAATCGATCATTAAACAACGTAAGTTATATCTATATCATATTATCATAATATCATATTATTATCATAATATATTCTAATTTAATGCAACGATTAACTTTTTATCGAAAAACGTATGAATGGACAAGTGTTCTAAATTCCAAACTTAACTATCGATAATGGAGGAACAATGAATTGTTATTGAAATAGGATAAATCGAGCATGAATTGTCTCTATTCCGCATATTGAAATCATCTAAATTCCTATATTATTTCATTAACAAAACAATTGATGGGAAATCAAGCATGAAATTTTATACAGAATTGCCATTGTCAATTGTTGGCGCAATTTTATAAGCTTTTTTTTTTTTTTTTAATTTAAAAATAGAACTTGAATACTATTCAAGATATTCGAGAAATTTCTTATTTTCTTTTTTTTAACCTTAGAGATATTAAAACTAAAGGATGAAGAAACAAATATTCGAAAACAACTTAATACGATAAAAATCGTTTACACAAAATTTGAGATTCCCTCTCGTACGGATGAATCATTCGTTTAATTCGTAAAATATTGAAATACTTTTCTTAATTCGTCGATCATCTCAAGAAATTCGAACGCTCTTCCTCGCGCAAATTTACATTATCAAAATTCCATCCTCAAAGAAGCTTGAACAAAAAAAAGAAAAAAAAAAAGAAAGAAAAGAAAGAAGACGCGATCGATGAAGAGAATCAACTACTACTGGATTTCTCCCATTTTTGCCTCGCAACCCACGCGCGAGCAGAGACCCTTTTGTAAAACGACTGTGGCGCTAGTTTCCCGATTGTCACCACTCGAAACGAGGACGCGGCGGAAGAATGAGCGACCTTGAATGGAACCCTCTTTTTCTGCCATCGTCGTCTGTCGTCTCCGGGCTTGGTTGACCGTGTCGCGACAGGGCCGTGTCAAGTGCACTCCCGTTCCGCCCCTCTAATTTATGATCCGCTATTTTTGCGCTACATTTGGGTCAATTATGCCAACGGCGGCCCGTGAAAAACACCCCATCCTACTTATTACTCGAAAAATCCTCGAGCACTCCGCTTTTATTCCTCCGCGACAACAATCGGTATCGGCGATCAACGGCATCGATTACGGGTTTCACCTTCGACATTTTGCTTCCACGTGGCCTCGCGAGTCTTACCACTTACACGCTTTTGACCAACGATGGTCGCGTAATGGATCGTCGCTTAATGGCCACGAACAGCGAGAGGTGTCTGGAATAACGATCACTCGATGCTGTGGAGACAGGCTACCAGGCTTTTCTCGCTTGTTTTAAAGATTCTGTATTATTACACTTTGATACTGATATTTCCCGGTATTTCGATATGATTCTAAAGTATTGGCATTTTGTCGGTATTCGCGATATCGATTCGATCTCGAAACTTTATCGAAACTTGTATCGCCACAAACCACGCGGTGTATCGAGGATTAGAATTCGAAACTGGACTTTCGATCCGTTCCAGAAATTGTTCCAACGTCGTGTTTCGAACAATTTTGACTCGTGGATCGAGAGGGAAACACTTGTTGCAAACTTCTTCAATTATTTCTTCCCTAAAAAGGAGGAGAAGAGGAAATTCCATTAGATTCCATCAGGCTAAAATAAAATTAGGGAATGTATCGATGAGAAATGAACGAGTTGTCGGATTTTTTTTAAAAATTTTATTTTATAAATATTCGATAATACTCTCGAATCGTATTCTGGATAGGAGTGAAGTTTCGTTTTCGAATATTATCATTGTTATCATTACTTCGATTCTCGTTAAAAAAAAATATTTCAATATGTTTACGATTAGGTAATCGTATCTATTTTAAATATCGAATTTCTTTATTTACTCTTTTTATTTGTCGCATATATATTGCGTTATTAATTTTAATCATTGTGTTAATTTATTAATAAAATAATACTACGTAAATAGAAACAAATGACGTAAGATTCAATAAATAACATCGACGCGTGGACTTTTATATTACGCGCGAGGACTATTTATAATCAAGAATATCTTATATACATTGTTCGTATTGTTATAAACAAACATATATTAGGAGAATTGGCTATCATCCAGTTAAGCTTTTATTTGGCTTGTTACTCGAGTAGCATGATATATATTATTTCAACTAGATCCATTAATCCGATCATTGTTTACGACTCTTGATACTTGAAAATCGATTAAACGGTTAATCAAGACGTCGTTTTATTCGTGTTTAATGCCTTGAATTTTTACCAATTTATCGACAAATATGCTTCGTTTATTACCTCTTAAACCCTTCAAACAAATCTGAAAAAAATATCGAAAATCAGATCAGCTCTCTTAACGAGGATAGTGAGTTTGGTGAGTAGTGAATATTAAAAAATACTGAGTTGATGAAAAAAAAAAAAAAAGAAAAATCAGTTATGAAAACATAAAACGGATGTATCGATGGATAATAATTTGATGAAATGTCATCAAGATATATATCCTCTTATAATTAATACATTGAATGAAACGTAAAATTAAACGTAAAAAAACGAAATATAAATATTGAAGTGGAAAAGTGTCGCAAAATACGGATACAACGTATTACAAAGAAACTCTTCTCCGTATATCATTCGTTTCTGAAACAAGATTTTTGCCCTCGATGTAATCTACGAAACGGAGTGTCGCGCGAGGGCCATTCATCTTCCACGAGACGCGCCGTCAACCCGCCATATTTCCAAGAAGTTTCTCTCTCTCTCTCTCTC